ACCAGGAATTTGCTAGATGAAACTAATTTAAATGTAGAATACACTGAGGCATTGGGAAGCCATCTGAAGAGTTAAGGTATTTGGAAAGTGGTTTGTGAACAAAATAATTTTCAAGATACAGCTGATTTAGAAAATGTAAAATTAGCAAAAGACACTTTGTAGATTGGAGAGCTTGGAGAACATGGCTTACATCACTAACATGACAGAATGGACTCCCACTAGGGCAGGGGTGGATTTAGCCTGTTTTACTCAAATTAGAACCAGTAATCTTAATGTTTGAGGGATCACGTGTGGTTCTTTTTTTTTGGCGGTACGCGGGCCTCTCACTGCTGTGGCTTCTCCCGTTGCGGAGCACAGGCTCCGGACGCGCAGGCTCGGCGGCCACGTCTCACGCGCTCAGCCGCTCCGCGGCACGTGGGACTTTCCCGGAGCGGGCTACGAACCCGCGTCCCCTGCATCTGCAGGCGGACTCTCAACCACTGCACCACCAGGGAAGCCCAGCGTGTGGTTCCTTTGGTTGAATAGATCAACAGCAGTCTGAGAGGCAATCTGACCTGTAAGCTTTATTCTGCCACTGATTCACACAATGACCTCGAGGCATCACTTCTCTGTGGGGGAGATAAAAGTGTTAGTGATCTTTGATCTAATAATGCTTCTTGGTGGAAACTGTCAGAAAATCATCCAAGATAATTCAAATAAAGAGGAGAATAGAATAGATGGTACTGAAATGATCCATGGTGATTGCATCTACATTAAATATACCTAGGCTTCATGGGAACTGTGAATGAGAACTTAGAAACTGTCACAGGCCAAGCAGACATTCTCTAATCTCTCAATTCCTCTCTCCCATTCTCCCTTCACATGGATTCTAATCATTGTTTCTCTCTGTAAACTGATTGTATTCATGCCTCTTTCTGTATACAAACTTTCCCTTTCATCCAATCCCAACCCCACTAGTTGTATAATCTGAGGCCATTACCTAAGCTATCTGAGCACCAAATCTAAGGTCATAGAATTGAGTTGCTTGCAGTGGCACATGGATTTCAGATCTTTCACCAGTGCAGGAAGGGAAAGGAATAACTATACTCACTGAATATTGCAGGGTCCAAATGGTATAATGTGCTCAGTCAATGCTAACAGTGAATACCTGCATCAATAAGTTGTTGCCATCTGAATCCAAGGGAAAGTAGTAAACAGAGTGTATGAATATTGGGCACTTTGTATCTCCCTTTCTGAGTTTAGCTTGTCAGGCTGTATTACAGTTGATATTTATTAGGAGAGGGATCCTCCCAATTGATCAAGGGCTCACCTGGTATAAGGAGCGAAGTGAATAACAAGCCTACCTTAAGATAGAGTTTCATATCAAGAATGTTCAGGAGTCAAGAAGGACTCATATGAGGTTATTATATAGATATATATTTAATATAATATATGTGATTGTGGTTACAGATACATATTTTGTGCTTTATCAAGAAGTATGAGTTACATAGTATACAACGTATTGGTTACAAAATTAGAAGATAAACACATTGTTTCTAAATGAAAAACGTATAGGATAAATGCTGACAAATGGATTTCCAAACCTTTCATTTCTACACTTTTCTCTGGGCTGGTCTCCTGAAGATGAGTTGTGAGTTGCAGTATTCTTAAAAAATTTAGTCCCCCCAAATTCTAATAACATATGACATGAAAAGAACTTTTGGCAAAAATTATCCAGATTACTTCTCTCCATTGGAAAAGTTTTCAGCATTTCCCATTGTTTTGTCTATGCCTTAGTTTATACATTTTCCTAGATAGTGAGTTAAATGCTTTCAATTGTATTCATTATTAGATAACAGTGGTTAGACTCAACTATTTAAAATGTATCCTCATACAGGGGGAGAAAAGAAATGGAGATATAGGTGTGAGACAGAAAGGAAAATTGTCTCAGGTGAAAAAACAAGAGGCTTATCAAACTGGATGTAAATGTTGGTTTTGTAGCTTCTCTACTAGAAATGATTATTATTAAACTGTGAGGTGAGGATAATATTCCAAAGTTCGGGTTGTCTGTCTTTTTCCCTTTACTCTCTGCTATGCGTTTCCATTCAAAGCTACAAATGTCTCTGTTGGAAGTCTTGATCTTTTCAGTTCCAGTATGCTGGGGAGAGCCTTTCTTTGGATATCTATTGCTCTGGTCGGCCATATAACCTATTTGAATGAAAATATGTTTAGCAAAATGAGTATCTGCTAAATTGCTAAAAAGCCTTATCCAAGGCAAGAATTGAACTCAGTCTTATAGAATGGAGAGCCTGGAAAACCCATACACTGAGATGTATCAAGACATCGTGTCCAGAACCTACAGAGAGTTGCCTGGCCCTTGGGTTTGGACATTTGGATGTTAGAAACTGGGTTCTCCATGCTCTGCTCTCTGGCACATGCAAGCCCAATGGGGAAAGAAAATCTTCCATGTTTCTTCTTTTATCTAATCAAGAATCCCTAGGATATTAAAATGGATTTTCACATCAATCTGCATTGTTAGTCAAGAAAAGCCTTCCTGCAAGTCTTGGTGGTGACAGCAGAAACGATTTGATTTTCAATCAAGTGGAGCTGCTCTTAAATGTCTCCTAGTGAATGGTCTCACTTTGTAGGTATGGGCACTTACTTCTTTACCACTTCCTATCTCTCCTTTCCCCCCTTTCTTTTCTCATGACCCTATTTCTCACAAACTTGCTAAATTACCAGGAAACAAGGAAAATACCCTGCTAGAGGGAATGATTTCAGGGTTAAAAATGATTCCTCTGAAATATGATAGCCTTTGAAATGATTCTCAAATTATCAATTTGTGATGGGACGGATAGCTTGACAAAGCCCTGGCAGAGAATGTTCATTAGTTTACCAATTGAGTTACTAATGGTCAAGTTTTTATTGAAACTTCTGGATATCTATTATTCTTTGGGAAATAATAACAAGTCCACCCTGTTGAAAGGGAGTGTATACAGAGAGCACATCAGCCAAGCATAATCCATGGCTTTGTAGAGGACAAAAGTAGAAACAATTTCTTTAACAACTTCTTCTCTTTATGCACTCAAAACTGAAATCTGCTTAAAGCATAATTTATACCATAGAGAATTAGAGTACATAGGTGGTATGGGGAGTGGGGCACAAAATGTTTTCATAAATTTGATTCTATCGATTGGAAAGCAAAGTTACTGAAACACCTCAGTTCTGCATTTCAGAAGGTGTCTATCTGAGAGAAAGAAAATGTGTATGTGTGTGCATGTGTGCGTGTGTGTGTAGGGAGTTGTTCACATGAACAAGCATTGCTTTAGCAGGTGAACATGGAACACAGCCTCCTAATTTACTCTGAGAGTCTGTCTCTTTCTTCTGGTCAAGTTTAGATCCTAATCAGACACCAACCACAACCACAAACTATATCAAACCCAGGCAGAGAAACAGGTTATGGTGGTTACCTGACCTACCTACCAATCTTAGGTTTCTCTCAAGGATGAGAAGCATATACTCCTATTCCCATTGACTACCTCTCTACATTCCAGATTCACTTATGACTGTTACATTTTCACAAGGGAGGAAAATGTCAGCACCACAGGGCTCGCTCCTGCATTGAGTTTCATACTTTCCCAGGCAATTTACTCAAGGGAGAGCGGGGAGGAAGGGGAGGAGGCAAAGGGAGTGATAAACAGATGTTACACATTTTTTTTTGTTATTTTTTTTTTTGTTACACATTTTTTTTCCTGGAAAGATCATCCCAGTTTTCCTAATTTCCCAAAATTTAAAAGAATGTTTATTTTGTTTGTGTTACTATGGCAACTTCTAGCAGCTCAGTTTTTTTTCTAAGTTTAAAAACAAACACCAAAGATTTCAAAGAATTTTCTAGGGCAATTTTTATACATTTGCTTTTTCATTTTGGGCTGTGATATTTGTACTCCTTTTAATTTTATTATTTAGAAGAGTGTGTGTGTGTGTGTGTGTGTGTGTGTGTACTGCTTTAAATTTAAAATCATATTTACATATATATTACATGTCACCGGTTGACTGCAAGGCATTCATGCTTCTTGTAGCCTTTACAGCATTGCCCTCCTGGTGCTTTTCCTGCCCCTCTGCCTCCTGGGTTCAGCTTATGAAAAGGTGAAGGTCCTTCTTATCCTCCACTGACAAGTCTACCCACTTACATAGGATGTGCAGTCAATTTGTGAATACAGTCAGTCCGAGTCTTTGTCATATCAACCATCTTGGTGAACTCTGTAATCTCTAGTTAATTCTCTGGGTATTTTCAAACATTTTGTTGTTTCAAATAATATGAATAAAATATTTGAAATATTAATGACATGAAAATTTTTCTTAAAAATGTTTTGGCATTCAAGAAAAACATAACTCACCTAGATTCTTCAGTTCTTAAATTTTCTAGCTGCATTAGCAAGTAAAGGATTGGTGATTTTATACTGATCTGGGGCAGCATAGACAGATGCTAAGGATGGCTGTGCTGGGAATTCTTGTTGTGAGTTGCTTGTCACTCCTACACGAATAGACATGGTGGGAACTTCTTTTTCATGCTCACAATGTTGGTCTGGCCTAGCTGTCGACTGCTTGATGACGGAGATTCTTTGAAGTGAGCAATACTGACAAATATGAATGAACTCATACCAGACTAGCAAGAGTTGGCAGTAGACCCAGTCACTCCGACCCATTTTCAGAGTTTGAAATGGCAAGTATTCAGGAAGGGCACATTAGCCTTTGAAATACAAAAAAAAAAAAAAGGAAAACCCAACAAATACAGTCAGTGTTTACTCAAAGAATACAGTCATATAGTTGCGTCACTTTCAGTACTCTTAGGAATTAAGTGAATAAATGGGCTACAAACATGTGAAACTAGGAGTGTGTGAAAGAAAAAAAGAAACAAAAGGAGTAAATACAAGACTAAACAATGTAGTCTTCTACTTAAACATTTCAGGTTTTTATTAGTCCTTTAAAAATTACTTGTTTAGTTAACTCAGTGTCCTCACCTTGGTTATATTCATACATAGTTTGACTCTATTACTAGATTATGTAAATCATTGTTTAATCAAATCTACTAAAGATAAGAAAAAAATTCTAGCAAAACTTATAATAATGAAATACAGAATTAAAAGTTTAAACCTACTAAAAGTACCATGGCTTATCAATTGGTTGTGTGTAAGGCATGTTAGGGGTATAAATGTGCATTTTGACTATAAATACAATTCACTAATGCAGGAAGCAAAATAGGGAGGGAAGTGAGGGGTTGCTAAAAGATAAGATTATTTTGCAAAATGCAGGGTACTTTAAAATTTTATCTCACTTAGAACGTCTCTGCATTTAGTCAAATTAAGTTTTCCAAAGATAATTTGGTGTTTTAAAGATAATCGTCTTTTACTAAACAAACTGATGGCATCATAGGACAACTAACCATTTTAGGCTTGACAAGATTTTCCCATCTTAGTGTACAGCCCTCTTGATATTGAGGTGGGAGACCACTGCAATGAGTAGCAACTGTTTTATATGATTGGAGTCAGAAATTTTGGAATTTTATACTCACACGAATTTTAAATAATTTGAAAATTGAAACTTTGTGCCTACATACTAGAGGCATAGATACATGTATAAAGTAGTCCCTTGTCAATCTCAGGTCATTGATTTAATACAGAATTTGGTAACTTTATGCATGGGAAGGTATGAGGGAAGTATAGGGAAAGAAGTTATATGGATGGCGTTCAGATCGATCTTATATAAACACAGCATATTTATGTATCTATATCTCTTGTTTATAATCTCTAGCTAACACAAAGATGCTCTCAGAAGAAGATCAATATCTTTTAACAACGTATTTGCTTAAAAAATCCAAGAGTGGCTCTGCCTCATAAAATTCTTAGCAACTTTTACTAACCAAGTTCAGAAATAATGAGAGGGGTGACCCCCCTCATGGATCAGAATTTTTTTTAAAATGAGATCCATTAGTTTCAGTTGAAACTGGTCTTTCCACATCCACATTCTTTTTCATACCAATTTAGCGGGAGATCCATTACCTAAACCAAATGGACCTACATTCAATGATATCATATTCTTATCTTATATTTCCTTTGATAGATTTTTTTCTGTCATTCTGATTGAGTTTCACAACAACATACAAGAGTAGAGCTTAATTAAGATTGGGGGCAGGAAGAGGAAATTGGAAAAGGAAGGCATTTGGGCAATAGATAAACATCCAAAACAATGTGGGCAAAGGAGGAAGCAACACTCTCTGGGGTTTTCCGTTTGAGAGTCTTTGAGCAAAAGCTGCTATAGGAAAATATGTGGGTTGCTGGAAAGTGCAGGTTATTGTGGAGGAAATAACTGTCAGGATGATTCTCACAGACCAACTACATTGCTACTTGATGAACTCCTGATAAAACCCAGAGCGCACAAAGCGAGGCAGTGAATCCTTTTCCATCAGGGCATGGATTCTTTTCTGGGCCACATCAAAGCTGCTTGGGGAAGGTTCCACCAGGTTCTTCACTGTGATGTCCTTCGTGAAATGATCAATATTCACCTATGAGACAGGAAACAGGGTCACTGAGTCAGCCAGGTTGTGGGATTTGAGGAGGGGTTGGAAGAGAAGTGGAATTTCTCACCAGTATAACACACGAGGGGAAGAGAGTCATAGCAAGTGAGAAATATCATTTCTATTTTATATGCAGTGGAGTAATGCAACTTCAACAAATGCTTCAACAAATGCATGACTCAGATTAAGATCAACCAGTGTTAGACACCCACTGTTAGAAACAAGCAGCCAACACATGCAGACCTCATATAATCCTCACAATAACCCTAAGAATGAGTCTTTCCTTTTGTAGGGGAAAGATAGATAGATAGATAGATATAGATAGAGACTTCTTCAAGATCACAGAACTAATAAATGTATTTGAATGCAGAGACTCTGAATTTGAATCCAAGTATCCGATGCCTAATCCCACAATCCTCCTACCACAGCATTTGGTTTCACACCTAGTGGGGAGAATGAAGAGAGAGAAAGAACTTCTGACCAGGAATCCAAGACCTTTTGCATGGTTCTCGAAGAATAAAGAAATTTGGTCTTTTCCTGAAACTAAGTGGGAAACAATGGTTCTAGCGCAACAATGATAACAATAGCAGCTAATACTTAATGAGTGCGGAGAGCTTAACTTTTACAGGCACTGTGCTATGAATTCATTGAATCTTACAACTCTAGGAGGCAATACTGACACCTACACTTGACACCTGAGGGACAGAAATGTTAAGTGACTTGTCCAAGATCATAAGTGGTAGGGAGAAAACTCAAAAGCCCAGCAATGTTGCTTTTACCCAGTAGACTGCAGTGTTGGAAGGCATTATGGCGTACTTGTCTTGAATGCAGGGCTACTACATCGAGCCATTCCCAGGGACACCATTCATGTTAGGGTCCGTGTAAATGGCCCCTGGAGTTGTACAGTTTACAACGTGCCTGGGCTTGTCTGAGTATGATTTGAGAGAAATCACGTTGTATGTTTCAATGACTCTTAAGGAGTCTGCATGTAAAAGAGAAACAAATCAACCAATAATTTTGAATTGGAACATGAGAAAATGTTTTAGGTCTCTCCTGGGCTGCTAGAAGTTCTTGATACTGAGAAAAGCTATTTGGGCTCAGAGAATTATGAAGCAGCTTTAGGTCAGAGTCAGGGACAAAGACATGATTGGGGAGTACCAGGCCAGAACACACGGGAGTGACTGTGACTGAAGGTCCAGGATGAAGTGAGTTGAGGCTATGACATGTTTTCCACAGATGAAAGGGGCCTGTGTGCTTTATGCAGGAATGGCGGAAGACTATACAGGAGGCACTGGAAACAGCCTCGGAGGTGAGGTAGTCTGACTCCTGCCTTCACGGGTGAAGACTCCAAGACCCAGAGAGGTCGTTACAGGCCCACAAACAGCTAGTGAGGGACAGAAGTGAGGCTATCATGTATATTTCTCTATTCTCAGTCTGTTATTCTTCTCGCCACACGAAAGCGATGTTTCTTCCTTCTTTTAAATATATGCTGAGCTAGGTGGGCAGCCTTACTCAAATAGTTGTATTTCTAAAAATTATAGAATTATCTCTTAATCCTATTTTTTAAAGAAGTGATGTATTTAAAACTTTCTAACACATTGTATGCACCAGCAAAAACAGCTATTTATCTTATAAGTTTTATGTGCATGGGCTCCTCTAATGAATCATTTTGATATATACTCATCCGTTTACTAGAGAGCCAAGAAAATATTTTTCATTAATTTAAAATATGGACAGTTGACAATCTGCAATATACGAGTTTTCTACTTATTGAACTACGCAGGGTCACTTCTCTTTTTTTAATCTTAGTTCCAATTTTTTACAACTGTATCTCTCCTTCAGTTCCTTATCTTAAAGAACTGAGGTGAATATTCAGAGAAAGAAAATTGAGATTACTATTTGCCTGGGTAAATTTGTTTTATAGGTCAATCTGCTGGTCACCAAAATGAAATAGTAAATTTGGGGGTCAAAATACAAGAGTTGGAGAATTTTAAAAATAACAGCTACAATTTATTAAACATCCTCTAGGTACACATACATATATGTGAGGTGATTACGGTTAAGGTAACTGAGAATTAGAGAGCCTTAGTGAGAAACTTGCCCAAAGGTACACATTGAGAAAGGTCTGGGTTGGGACATCTGCACCCATTCATCTCACAAATATTCACTGAATGTTTATTATGTGTCAGGAGTGAGATTCACATTCTCTCTGATGCCCAGCTCAGAGACTGGAGGCCAAGGCTATTTTATTTTGAGCTCACAGGTCCTCATAATGAGGGTCACCATTTGTGTGTTCTAGTAACTCAGCCAGGGTTTTGTTTATTTTGAAACTTCATTTTTTTTTTTTTTTTTTTTGCGGTATGCCGGCCTCTCACTGTTGTGGCCTCTCCCGTTGCGGAGTGCAGGCTCTGGACGCGCAGGCTCAGCGGCCATGGCTCACGGGCCCAGCCGCTCTGCGACATGTGGGATCTTCCTGGACCGGGGCACGAACCCGTGACCCCTGCCTCAGCAGGCGGACTCTCAACCACTGCGCCACCAGGGAAGCCCTTGAAACTTCATTTTTAATGTCTCATATTTTCATGATAAACACCAATGTTCTAGTAAGGAACCTCGAGAACAAAGTTTTCCTGGAGTTCAAAGCAATAGCCCAGATGGGTCTCCACGATGTGCAGACATTGCAACAAATCCTAGACTTCTGTAAATAGGAATGATGTTGGTAGGAAGATAGGCTGGAAATGGAAGATCAGTTGAAGTCAGGAAATGGGTGTCAAATTTAATACTAATCTCCTTGGTAACATCACAAATAGAGATTCCACGTGGGTAGAAGAATAATGTCCCAGCACAAAAGGCATCAGAAGTAGGGGAAGTTAACATATATGCATAGGGTGGGAGCCTGAGGAGTAGAACAGGAGATCTGGATAAGTTCCACAGCAAGACTAAGCCCAGTTCCATCTTAGGACTCTCACTTTCTCCACCTTGACCCATGGTGCTCTATACTCTCATGCTCCTGACCTCCACTTCCTGTGTCATGGAGGGAGCTCATCTCTTGGTATTAGGTATATAATTTGTCCATCCATTCAAACATATTTATCTTTCAAAAAGGATCAGTGATGAATAATGCATTACCAAAGGAATAAATATCAAATGGTGGGACCTCAAGAGTCTAGAGCACCTGAGAGAGAAAAAGGGTATTGGGGTTTTCCCCTCTCAAATAATCTGAAGTTAATTACTGCCTACCTAGAGGGTTTGCTCAGATCACCCCTGTGATTGACCCCAAATCTTGATGAAATGCTTGATGTCCAGATTGGATTATGGGGTGCAATGTGAAATTAGTGACCTGACCAAAACATGATGAACACGTCTTGCTGAGGCCATCCTGAATTCCACAGAAAGCCTTTTCAATTCAGTTTCATAAAGGGCAGATAAACTACCCCAAATCCTCTTTGAAATCAACACACATCTTGTCTTTAGCAGTCAGTTAATGGTACATTGTCTTCTGACATCTCTAGCACTATTATCTTGTAATCATTTGATTTTTGTAAGTAGAAACCCTGTTTCCCCTGACTAGCGTGTAAATGGAAAAGGCCTGGGGGAAACAACAGGATGGGGGAGAATAGAAGGGAAAAGAGAGAGTTTTCATAAAAAAAGAAAGGGAAGGGAGGAGAAGGGGAAGAGGAAGAGAGAAGAAATTAAGTGGTAGAAACATTCAGTAAGCATTCATTAGTTCAAATGCTGAGATATACATTTTCACGTCCGCTTTTTAATTTCATTCTCACAACAATCCTGCAGAAATAGTCTTCATTACCCTCATTTTTCCCAAAGAAAGAAACTAAGTTCAGACAGACTCAATCATTTATCTAAGATCATACAACTAGTATCATCCTGACTTGCGATTACATACTACTGAAAAGAGACCCATGATTGCTTAGAAAGTGACCTAAACAGAGTTCAAGTTCATACCTGCTCGACTGTATTCCTCCACCTTTCCACTCAGTAGGCGCTTACGAAAGGTGGCCCACTCTCAAATAGGAACAGCCTGTGGCTGCAAAGTGTACTGCAGTTGGAAACCCTTCCTGGGAAGTTGTTGAGCTGACCACACTCACCCACCTTCCCATCAGGACCAACCTCTTTAGGAGCCTCCGCTTGGATGAATTCTTCATAAATTTTCTTTGCCTTCTCAACCATCTTGACAGGGGACTTGATCTTCTTGTAATCCTCACAGGCCATCCAGAACTCAAGGTTTTCCTCACTAAATTCAGACCTCAGGAAACTTTTGAAACTGGCAAGTCCGTCTAGCAAGGAAAAAGGTTATTTGAGGAAATGTATTCACCCTATCTATCTATCTATCTATCTAACACTATATCCCACGTTGTAGCCTAGGTTTATTTACTATATATTCCTGTCATTTATGCCATAACCTTACAAAAGTTAACTCATTTGCTCCTCATTACGAAGCTATTTTACAAATGAAGTCAGAGAGATCAAGTAACTTGCCCTTAGTTAACCAGCTGGTAAGTGGCAGAGCTGGGATTCAGATCCAGACAGTCTATACTTAGGTGATGAAGGTTTACCTGTATACAACATCCAGGGACACTGTGAACACTAATGCCATTCTGGATACTTATCAATTACCAAAAGGAAAAAAATACATTTAAAACTTGATTTGGTAGTGTGAGTAACATTAATGTTGATTCTCGTGTATGGACTACTTGCAGTCTTTTTGTTTTCCTACAGATGATTTTTGAGCAAATATCATGTTCTGGGAATTATGGTAAGTAAGATAGACATGGTTCCGGCCCTAATGAAGTTTATAGATCCTGGGGGAGGTAGAAAAGAAAACGAAGAAACACACACAAATAAGTGTACACAACAAAAGAAAACCATACGAAAGATAGTAAGAGTAACAAAAGGGGTCCTAACCTCGTTTTAGGTTTAGGGAAAGCCTCCATGAGAAAGTGACATTCCATTTGAGACCTGAAGGAGGAGTGGGAAGGGGCCCAATGAAGTCACCACTTGCAGAGTAGTTACTATGCCCGTCAATTATACATCAGTCTATAAACATATTAAATTCAGTATAATTATAACTACTGTGATTCTGTTTTCAGCGCACTGTTGCTCCTGTAGAATATATTTCAGCTTATAATTTAAATATATATACATCTATATACGAATATCTATCTATCTATCTATCTATCTATCTATCTATCTATCTGTAGAGACTCTTGGGCCTGATCCTTTTGTTTCCTTTTTCTTTCCTACCCCTCCAGCTCTAACCTCCAAAGTGGTAGATAAGTAGAAGGCAAGGTCAGGATTTAGGAAGGCACTGGAGAGGAACAAAGGAAAAATCACTCTTTATCTTCAATATTTTCTTCCTTTTAAAGCTGTCTCTCTCTCTCTCTCTCTCTCTCTATATATATATATATAATATATTATATATATATATATGCTTTTTTTAAAACCCAAATTCTAACAAATGCATATGTACTGAGAGAGAATCCATGTCCATTTACTATGTAGGGAAAGTAGATTTCTAAAGGAAGGAGAGAAAATTCTAGTTTTCCACAGACTGTATCACAATTACAGACATGCCTGGCATGTCATTTGCCTCTCAGGGCAGAAGGTTGGACTGACTATAACCAGTACATCAGGGTCCACCTTTCTAACTTGTTCCCCATCAGGAGACACTTCTTCAATTCATTAGTTTTACTTGCAGACATATTCATGTACTGAATTCATTTCCTTTGACCTAATTTCTATCTATTTCCCTTCCCCTTGAGTATTTCTCCCTACTCCTTTTTATGGACTCTAAATTTTCATTCATTAGTCATAGCTTAATACATCGATTTCATACAATATGCACAAAATGTGATGATTAAGCCTGAAATATATGGTTGTCTTTTTTCAATTTTCCTTCTGTGCATTTTTATTGTCTTCATACCCCTCACAGTTCCCTGAAACTGTGTTCAGTTCTAAAGAAACAGAATGACTAAGTTATAATTAATTGGATTAGGGTCACCAGTGATTCTGAATCCAAACAAGACACTTTGCATTTTAATCCCCTCTCCCTGTACTTAACCTAAAACCATTTTTTATTGATCAACACCTAAAAATATATTGGGAAGTGATGGTAGGTATGAAAAACAATTTTCTCTAGAAGCCCAGCTAGAAGAATTACTTTGAAACCAGTTGATAATGTTTACCTGGTTAACATCAGATGTATTTTCCCTCTCTCTCTGCCCATATTTCCCACCATATTTCCGGCACTATTTGTTATCATTTAGTGGCACTGGAGTCAATGGTACATGCTGAAAGAAGAAATAACCCCCGAATTCTCTCTCTATCATTCTTAAAGTTTTCATTGTTTCTTAAACAAAAGGTGTCAGGTAATCTTTGTTGAAATGAGAAAATTCCCAGGCACTTTCTAGCTACCGGGAAATGACGATAGGAATGAAGTCTTATGAGCGCCCACACAATCAGGTCTAAGATTGTAGACAAAGCAATAACTTCACAGAATAAGTCTGGGCCAATTTATTCTCATTAGTCCCATGTCCCCACAACACGGTGATTCAGGCACTCTGAATCACCCTCTCCACATCTTTGAAAAAGGTAGAGATAAAATCCTAGTCCTCAGAAGCATTGTTATTGATGACCTGAGGATACATTCCAGGATTCCACAGCAATGTTAACATTTACCATACATTTACCAAGTCGTCCGATACAGGAAATGCACCTGGAAAATAACTTTCCAGTGTATTGAGTCCATTTCCTGGGTATGGTTTCATCATTCTCTTGAAGCCCATGATGTCATCCCAAGGCTTTTTGTCAATGTACGCACTCTCCATCAAGACTCATCAAGTGGATTTATTATTTATTTATTGGTCTGGGAGATGTTTAAAGCTATTCTTTCTCTCATCTGGATTTTGAGGATTCTCTAGAGGGTCCCTTCCTAGGACCCTCTAACGCCACTCCCCAGATGATTTCTCCCCCTTAACCTCTGGTTTTCTACTGGTCCATTCCTCAGAGACCCTGAGGAATTCCCATTACCCCTGAGGAAGTCCTCTTGGGTCAGAGTCAAATCTACTCTAGGCCAAAGTCTCTATTCTGCGAGGAACACACACGTCTTCTTTGCCTCACATTATTCCCCTGCCCACTCCACACCCCAGGAGAGTCCTCACTACACAGCCCAGAAAAATCTCTACATTATTCCTTGCTGAGCCCACACAGAGCCTCAAAATACCATTCCACACACATCTTCGGGCATCCTTTTCCTAAGAAGTAGGTGAAGCCCACCTGATCTTCTGGTCTGGTGGCAACATTCTGGGTTGTGACCCACATTATAATCCCAGAGCTGGCCCTAATGAGTGATGTCACTTTTGACATGCCTGAAAAATAAAATAACAACCCTGCCAAAGAACAAAACGAAACCACCTATAAAACCACTTTAAAAATAAAAAGAGTATAAGACAAATCCAGGTCCAACTGGTATAAAGGAAAAAATTGCTGAAAAGTAGATTAGCACAAATCTCTTCTCCTAGAGGAAAAATAGTGAAACGTTACTGATAGTTGATAAATACCATTTCATAGTTTACTTTCAAAGCATGGACTCTAGAGCTAAGATGGCCTGGAGGTTGATGCTTACACACCACACTACTACAGTAACTTGGGCAAGTAATCTAACCTCTCCAAGCCTCAGTTGCCACATCTGGTAAGTGGGGTACTAATGGAAACTACCTGACAGGGTGGTTATAAGGGTTAAATAATTCATGGAAAGCTCTTACATGATGTTGAACATAATGATAGCTCAATAAATGCTGACTTTCATCATTATTATTCATGCCCAATTTAAAAGTAATATTTATCACGATTCAAAACCCAACTCAAATGTTGCCTCATATACAAGGTAGTCTTTACCCAGTACCTCCAACTTGCTGTTGAGGATTTTTAGCATCATAAGAGGAGAGATCACTTTCTCGGTTTTGGTTGGGATTATTTGCTTCTATGGCTATCTTTCCCAGGAGGCTGTTGACGATTTGAGTTCAAGGTTTGAGTTTCATTTATCTTTGCCCTTCTTTTGAAAGCATCCCACCTCCTAGTCTAAATCTGTGGGCCTAACATTTAATCGAGGTTCACACTGAATAAAATAAGACCCATTGAGACAAAAGTTTCCTCTCAAGCCTCAAAACTGAAGAATACAAACATTAAGGAAAAATAAAATGACTGATTTTGCTATTGCTGTAGTATTTTATTTCATGGGCAAGTTACCAAGTCCCTTTTCTGGGAATTGTGGCTACCAGTGAGTAAGATGATGATAAATATGAGCCAGAAAAGAGAAGGGAGAAAATTGGAAACAAAAGAAGAGAAGAAGAAGGAGAATGCAAAGACGGAAACAAAAAGAGGAGCCAGGAGCCAGGCTATTCCACTCCCCATGCAAGAGTCCAAATCTCAAGCGTGTCTCAAGGAAATGTTCTGACATTTTGGAACTCCTGGGGCAAAAAGATTCACATAAAAACTTTGCTACTACTGGGCTGTGTTTCATTCTTCGTCTGCTCTTAAAGACAGTCGTGTGGAAGAGTTTAATGTCACTGTCTTATTTAAACTCCCACGTGCAATCTGTTTTTGTGTTTAAAAAGCAATACACCAGTTATGTGCCCCATGGACCTTCAAAAAGAAAACAGATGGTGCCATATATAAAAATGAAGACAAGAACGTAAGAACAACTGCTGTTCTTTCAGAACAGAGTCGAATACACTGGGCTATTAAAAACTATTTTTCATAGGTTCATTAGGTAATGCCTATTAGGTTTTAATAGGTTTAATAGGTGATTATCTTGTAATAGCCTATAACAGAATATAATCTGTACAAAATGAATCATTCTGTACACAATGCAGTATTGTAAAGCAACTATATTTCAATAAAAAAAGATTTTTAAAAACTGAGGAAAGGAAGAGAGGAATCTTGTGGAAGAGAAGAGATTGAGTAGCAGCTTAACTGTCCTTTTTTTAAGAGGTTTGGTACCAATTGATTTCATTTCCACTCAAGAAAATTTAAGAAAAATGTGGATTTAAGAAATGCTTGGGGAACTGAATCAATATCTTACATTAGCACAAGAGAATGCCAAATGTTCCTCATAAATCAGCAAATATGCCATTCCTTGAGGTTAAATGATTTAATTTATCAAATCAAACATGGAAGAGGGGATTGTGAAGTTTTAAATATGCATTTTTCGAATGTATCTTTCTTCATTACCTATTCTGCATCAATCACAGCTAATGTCAGAACTATCATAGTTCTGGTTATAGACCGTTAGTTTTTGCAGATTCAAATAAGAGTATCTCATAAGAACTGAGTTGCCAAAGTTTGGCTTAAAAGTTATTCACGGTGCACGAAAGCTGGTGT